GGGGGGCAGTTCCAGCCTGTCCTATGAGGTCACTATGAGTCAGAATCAACTCACTGGCAGTGAGCTTGGTTTTTCTGGAGTCTGATCTGAGCAAAGACATATGTTTGGGATCCCTAGATTTTCAAGAAACTACTAAGATGTAAGATGGGGGCTGTGTCCCACCTGAAACCATCTCCTGGCCACTGGGAGAAGAGTGCTCTGCGGCCGGGCATGAATCTCTGCTAAGTACCCCTGCACCACCTCTCCCGGCCCATGGTTCCATTACCCAAGAGCTGCTTGGACAAAGACAATGACCATCACTCGCATGGCCCCTCCTGCCCTCCCAAGCACGTTCTCGCCTCTGCTTCATCTGATCCCCACGACAACCCTGTGGGCTGGGCAGGGAAGTAAGGGACAGTGCCTGGGTCCGTCCAGCCTGAGCGAAGGCACTAAAGCTGGTGGTTGGAGGGTCAGAAGCAGGACTCAGGCTCCCAGTTCTCCTCTCCGCCCTCCTTCGTTCTACCCACCAGCTGCACAGACAGGCCCATGGCCAGCTTTCCAAACTCGCATTAGCCACACAGCTGACCAACAACCCGCAGCGTTTCCTCCATCTGTACAGCCTGCGGCCAGGCTCTCTAGACAGAAAATGTGCTCCTCTGTGACCCAAAATGTCACCTACACAACTAGGGATGGCCATCTTGTCATTTGGCTGCTGCCCATCAGCAGCTGTACCCCTCCCATGAAGCCACGGAGACTGCTAAAGGACCGTGTTGCTTCAGGACATCAAAGACAGGGCTGTCTGCAGAAAGCTGCCTGGGTCCTGTTCCCACTGAAGAGAGCTTGCTTGGTGGTGATGGGGCGGGAGGTGGGTGTTGGGGTTGGCAGGTGCAGTGGCTGGGGGCAGGCTGCACTTGACTCATCACGCACTGCAGGAACTCTGCGTAGAAGACCAGAGGGTGCACCTGGAAGCTCTGAGGTACAAAGGGGTGCAGCACAGCCTCTGCCTCCGCTGGGGAAGCTTGAAGCAGCAGCGCTCCCTCTGTGAGCAGCCTTCCACAGCCCTATTGGCTGGCTGCACAATCCACAAGCTGAGCAATGCCCACCGCCCACCCTCTTTCCACTCCATCACAGCCAAATTACAGGTCTGGGTCCTCGGGCTGCCCAAAGCAGCACACTGGTCCACCTGGGAGGCCAGGACCGGAGGAGGGCTCGTTAAACAGCAGGGAAGTCATGCAGCTTTAGGCTAGGGATTGACCCGGGAGCAGGGCAACATGAATTCTCAGAGGCCCATGAACTCCCTAGATTGTATGCCCAACTTTGTGCTCCAAGCAGTGTTCTCCCGGCTTCTGCCTGGCAGATCAAAGATGATCCAAGAAGGGGAAACCCAGTGCTCTGGACCCGAGCCCCATGCTCGTCTTGGTTGCTGCCCCATGCAGAAACATGCTGGAAGCGGCAATGATAGCCCATCCCTGTGATCAAAGACCTCACAGAGGCTGACTGCATCTTTGGGAGCTATGGGTTATGCTTAGCCCATTGTTATTTGGGTTTTGTTACTTGCAGCCAAAAGCATCCCCCCTGATTCAAAGTTGTAAGGCTCAAGTGACATCATCCAAGACCATCGGATTTGGCAGGGTCTCCCAGTCCACCAACAATATTCCTCTTACAGCTTGAGTTCTCTGCTCAGCCCCTAGAAAATGGGGGCCTGTCAGGTGCCCCAGGTCACAGGGAACCTACCAAGCCTCTCTCTTTTCTCCTTCCCAGACAACTGTACCTTACAGTTGGCTGGATGTCTGCCCGGCCTGGCAGGTGTGAGCTTTTAGAGCTCAATCCACATCCTCTGGACACCTGAGAATCCGATGTTTTTGCACAAGAATGTGTTCCTATCTATCTAAGTTCACACGAGTATGGTTTGTACAAGCTACACAATACACGTGTTTTCAGGTTTCAAGCACTTGGAGGGAGGCCCATTCTGTTTGAGGATTGGGGGCGGGGCATTTCTTAAGAAGGACAGATGCCAGTGATTATCCAAGATGTAAATGGTTTAAGTTGAGGCTGTGCCTCCCGGAGGACGCACTAGATCCAGCAGGCTGGTCAACATGCAGTCAGTTCCACCCCATGTGAAGACCAGCCACTGCTGACACCAGCTCAATTCATCAGAGCCCAGTAGTTCAGCCTGGCTGCAGGAACCAACAAGAGGGAGACCAAGGGGCAACGCACTTGCCGCTTTGTAAGCAGCTCAGAGCAACTGAAAGCACAAATTATCCGTGGTAAGAGCTGATAATAAACAGCGACGTTATACCTGTCACAAAAGCACGTTATGTCTGTGAAAACATGAATGGTGGAAAATACACAAGAAGTAAAGCGGGTCACCCTAGAAGGCTGTCGGTTGCCTCACCATGTCGATTGCTTCCAGGGTGCCTTGGGCTCCCACTCACTGCCCTTCCCCCATCCTCCATTAGGAAATGTGGAGGCCACTGCAGGAAGAGGGGGGCAGCTACTCCCAGAACACTCAGCTACTAGCTTACTCACCACCCCCACCCCCGGCCCCCAGCCCCAAAGAGGCTGGCAGACCCTGCAGCCTTAACGCCCCCCCCCAACCCCCCAGCATCAAAGTCCCAGACAGAGAAGGAACAGGCTAACTAAACCACAGGCAGAGACACAAGCTGGCTGTGGGACAGCGAGCGCAGACCCAAGGGTAAAAACCATGGCCCCAACTATCTTCAACCCCGGTCAGCAGGCACATGCAATTTACAGGAAATGAGGAGGTTTACAAAAAGGTTCCCCAGCTCAAGTTTCCATGCTGGGACGAGAAGCGGGAGAAATGCTACATACTGCCTGTGTGAACCGGCTTTGTTCACTGTGAAGCTCTGACACACGTCAGTTATTAATACCAGCAGCTCCCCACCCCAGCTTGAACCTAACACTGAATGTCAACAGAGAAAACCACAAGCCAGGCTGCACCAGGAGCCCCCTCCGGTTCAGGGCAAACAGTCCCTGACAGACGGACCAAAGCAGCCTCATGGCCCAAAGCAGTTCTTGATCTGCTCTTGGCAGGTTGTTTACCCTCTCCAGCCCCACACCCCCATCCGTCCACGGGGGCAGTAATAAAACTTTCCTGGAAGGTCTGGCCCATTGATAGGCAACGCCACATTACGCCTATTGGCTGATGTTATTACAATGGGGCTTTGAGTCAAGTAAGTCAGCACTCCTCATTCCTGTGAGGCAAAAACCTTCAGAGGCTACAATTTTGAGTCTTGTTGATCACCCACTCAGATTCCCACCAGGAAGTTTGGGTCCCAAGACAGGGTGCCCGCTCAAGGCATGGAGGTTCCAACCAGCAGGGTGCCTTAGTGGGAGACCAATCCCAGAGTTCTCAGATCCATGTCCTGGTGAAAGAGCCCTTGCCCACCTCTCCGGACTCAGCCTCAGATCCAACCGCAGTCTACATGGGTGTCCTGCATTCATTCAGGGCATCAACTCCTCCCTGAAGCCCTCCCTGACCTCCACACTGGAATGCGGACCCGGGTAGTCTCTCAATGCCCCCTCGGGGAGGTCCCTCGGTTTGGGACCCGGCTTCACCTCGGGGTAGGAACTGGCTCCGTGCCCGCGCATCAGGGACGTGCCCGCCGCCGCTGCCGCGTCGTCAATGAATGAACGCGAGCCCGAGCTGTGGCCAGAGCCCCAGTTCCTCCAGCCCCAGGCGACGCAGCAAAGGGTTGTTTATGAAGCTTATTAGTCAGGCGAAGGTGACAACTCCACCGGCGGAGGCTCCCTTCCCTCGGTAACGCCATTTTAAATGGGGGCAGGAGTCAAGCCCCTCCGCTCATCTCCCCATCCGCCGGGTCCTCACGGGGCGCTGGGGGTCGACGAGCACCCCAGTTTGGTCACCACAAAGGGTAGGGGTGCGTGGGTAGGACAGGCCCTCCCTTTCTCGATCGCAGACCGTTACGTGGGAGCCGGAGGTGCGGGCACGAGGCCACGCACCGCCAGCCCCCGGGCGCACCCGGCGCGGAGGCGACCGAACCCCGGGGGTGGCCACACCTCCGTCCCGGGAACAAAGCGCCCTCCGGGGGAGGAAGCCAGGGCTCGGCCCCCTCCCCGGTAAGCTGCGGCGACCACTCACCGCGCGCTGCAGCCCCCGCTCGGCTCCGACCCTCAGGCCGCCTCCTCCGTAGGCGAGCCCGCCCGGAGGCAGCGCCGCGGCGGCCGGATTGACGGCTCCGGGACAGACAGCCCACCGGCGGCTGGGTGCTGTCCCCGCCCCGGCGCCTTCTTAAAGCGACCGCGCACCTCGCGCTCGCCCGGAGCGCACAGCTCCCCTTAGATTGCATCCGCGCTTGCTAAAAATAGAGCGGCGCGCCCGGCGCGCGGGGACGCGGGGGTCCGCGCGGCGACCGAGTGGCCTGCGAAGGCACCCTAGTCCCCAGGGATCGCGCGCCGCGAAGCTCGGCCACCGGCGCCTAGTTCCCCGGCCGGGCCGGGCCGGAGCGCAGGCCGGGGCCCGGGCGACAGCCGCAGCCTCCCCCGCGGCTCCGCTCACTCGCGTGGTCCGTCCCGCGGCGCCGCCGAGTTGGCTTTAAGGTGGACGTGGAGAGGGAATTCGCTCGGGCCACCTTAAAATGATCCGCGCTCCAACCTTTAAATCTCCTTTCTGAGCCGGCCAACTTCGGACTCTGGACGCCTCTGGAATCCTAGGCGACGCGGTGACCGCGTTCCCTTCGAATCCCAAGAAGTCTTCCTTCCTAGACCTGCTCCCGCCGTGGCCTGCTAGCCCAGGCTCCCTTGGTGCATGCACTGGGCCGGAGCCCAAAGTCCCTGAGGACTGCACACGCTGCGGGGACTTGGCGACGCTGCCATTCCGTTTCATTGATCCATTCTCTCTAACTCCTCCCCGCCAGCGTCATCTCGCCCCCCACGCCCCAAGCTTAAAAATAAAAGACGGTATCATTCACACACCATAAAACTCATCCTTCCTTTCAAAGTGTGCAATTCAGTGGCTTTCATAAGTTCACAACATTTGGCAAGCTTCATGACGCTGTCCTTCTAGAACATTTTCAACACAGGAAAAATAAATTCCATACCCCTAAGCCTTCATTCCCATTTCCCCAGCCCCTGGAAATCGCTAATCTTTCTGTTTCTGCGCACTTGCCTGTCTGAACAGTTACGAACTCTGGGGGCGCTGTCGGGTAAGCGTTGGACTGCTACCTGTTAGGGCGACTATTCAAACCCACCAGCTACTCTGGCCAGAGTAAAGACGTGCAGCCTCCGAAACCCTTACTTGGGGTCACAATCAGTTGGAAGTGATGGGATGACAGTGGATTTGCTTCGATTTTATGTTTGGGATATTTCATATAAATAGAGTTACACATTATATGGTCGTTTGTGACTTCTTTTTCTCAGCACTGTGTTTTCAAGGTTCATCCAACTTGGAGCACCTATTCCTATTCTATGTAACTTTATTCCTTTTTATAATTCATCATATTCCATAGAGAGGATATACCTCATTTTGTTTATCCATGCATCTGTTGGAGGATGTTTCGGTTGTTTCCACTTTTTGGCTAGTGTGAGCAATGTTGCAGTGAGCGGTGGTGTCTGAGTCCTGGCTTATAATCCTTTGGGGTACATACCTAGAAGTGGAATTGCTGATTTAGATGGCAATTCTATCTTTAACTTTATAAGCAACTCCCAAACTGTTTTCCCAAGTGGTGGCACCATTTTATATTTCTACCACTAATGTACCAGGGTTTCAATATCTCCACGTTCTCACCCATATGTGTTACTGGTTTGTTTTTTTTTGTGTTAGTTTGTACTTTAGAGAAACAAATCCACAGAAATTCATGCATAAGA